TCCCCACTCTGTCTCTGGTGAATCCTCTCACCGCCCCTGCACCTCTGGCCTGTACCCCGGTTCTGTATACATAAATAAATAAATCTTTTAAGTTTTTTTTTTTATTTCTTATTCCTGAATTAAAGTTGCTGTAGTTAATGAGGAAAAAAGCCCAAAGAAAATGTTGGTGTTTTAATATTGAAAAACGTTGCTATCCCTAATGTCTTACCACTTTACATTTCCACACCCATTGCTCTTGACCTTCACAGCACTCCTGCTAGGCCACATAGGAGATATTCTTACTGTAGGTGTGAGGAAACCAATGTTCACAGAAAGACGTGATTGCCCACATTCTCTTAATTCTCTTGGGAAGACCTCTATGACAAGCAGTCATCCTCCACACATGAAGTGAACTTTGGAAGCTCATTTCTCAATACTCTTCTCTTTATCCACTCAGATAAGAATTTTAACTGATCAGTAACTGTTCTGCAGTTTCTGGTTACCTGTGGCCAGTTTAAGTGTATGACCAATCCTCAAAGTGTAGTTCCAAGACCTGCTGTGTCAACATCTTCTGAAAGCTAGTTAGAAATGTAAATTCTCTAGGCTAGGGTTTCAGCGATCTGCTTTAACAAGCCATCCAGAAGAGTCTAGTGTACCTTCAAAATTGAAACTACCACTTCTAAACCCACTCCTGGCTTTGATTTATTTCCTTTTACCTTCAAGGTCTCGAGTTCCTGTAAGACACCTTGAAATTGAGAGATGTGAACCAACCCTGGTCAAAATGTACTTTTAAATATATAAATATGTCTAGAAGCAAAATTAGCATCAAAAATGCAATTTTGCAGTTAACATAGTGGTCTTGAGGCTTAGTTACAGACTTAAGATAGTGTCAAATGTTCATTTGTTTCTCTTAAAGGAGACAGGAAAGCTTTGAGCAGGTTTTGGAAGTGATCCCAAACTCTCCAACACAAAGAAAGATGTAAACAAGGATAAAATTCCAATACCACATTAGTTTCCATACCAGCAAATATCTCCTGTAGTTTTAATATAAAAGGATTAACAATAATAGTGGTGAGGCAGCCTGGAAGAGGTGGAGACCAGCCCTATATACATCCATCCAGGGAACTGGAGGCAGATGAAGCTGCTGTAATGAGCCTGCCACCAGCAGACTGCAGACAGTATCTGGAGGGAATGGATCTGGCAGCAACCAGGAATCAGCCTGGATCAGACTGGTTCAACATAGAAAACGGGAGTGTTGTAAGCCAATGGGCAGCTGCAACTTAGCCTTGGGAAATCCAAGAACAGACCAAAATTGGGAAATCATGGCAATCACTAAGAAAATATGTTACTTATAGCAAGGCCCCAGCCTCAGCGTCCTCTTGCAGATGGATCTACTCCCTTTAGGGAAATGCTGAAAAGCTAAGAAGGGAGAACCTTGAGATGAACGGGCAAGTTTGAGGGCATGATCTCAACTCAGTGCATCATAACAAATATCAAAAAGCCAGATCTGGCGGACAGACTGAGTCTTTTATAAAAACAAAGCAGGAGTTTAATACCTGGAAGTATGACCGAGCTTCACACTGATTATGGTTACCATATGTTGAGATCCCACGTTGTTAATATAGTATTAATCCCCCTCCAGGATTGTTCCAAGAACTTAGAAATGAAGGTTATGTGGTACCTGACACTGAATAAGAAGGGATTTGCAAGGGTGAGGGAGGGGGGCCAGGCCTAGAAGGTAGAAAAGGCAATTATTGACTACATCTTTCAGCTCGGCACTGGTAAAAGCATTTTAGAAAAATGCTAATTAGCTGACTTAGAGAGTTAGTAATTGAAAGAATTTAGTGAAATGGATGACCTTTAGAAAGACTGACTCAGTCATTGGAATAAGAGTGGGATGGGAGAGAATCAGACAATGCTTTTTATCTGTAACTTTTAAAATGTTTATGAATGCTGCAACACAAGCTTACTGTTTTGTAGACAGGAACCAAGACACAAAGAGGTTAAGTGGTTTACCCAAATTAATATACCCCAATGTACCCATAAAATATCAGAGAATGAAAATGAAGGAATCTAATTTGCTAAGTGTTAACCCTCTTAGCCATGCATAAAAACCATTAATAATGTTGCACTTCCCATGTCAAAATTAGCTGCCATGACATACTACCAAACCACCACCTGACATTTGTTCATCTTTCAGCTAATTCTATTAAAATTATACTTCCTGACTAAATCATAGGTCCCTTGAGGGCTGGGAATGCTTCTTACCAGCAGATGTTCCCCTGCCTGAAAAGGACAAAGCTGTGAGTGCAAACCCTTCGGATAATCCCCATCCGACCCCACCTTGGAACAAAGATGTGCAAACCACAACTCTGGTCAATTCAAGCAGGGGTGACTATCTTCATGAGACAGGACAGGCCACAGAGCCTCACCTAAATGAGTATCCATGTCTCTCCCTCTGACCCTCAAAACAACCCTTGGTTTTTATTTCTCCCAGTGAAACCAACGTTGTCTAACTCACTCAGACTTGAAACATCACCCCCCTCCCAACACACACACACACATACCATCTGGTTTACTAGTTTTTTTCCTGCTCAGACCTTCCTTTATGCTGCCAGATTAACCACCCTCATCAGCTCCTACTAAGTAGCTTTCTACTGCCTCCAATCTCTCTTCAAAACCACAACAAATTCAATCTCCCTAATCCGTGTTTCCCATGCCCTACCCTTTCTTTGAAGTTTCCGGTTGCCTTCTGTTACCTATAGATTACCTAATCACTTTCTCATAGCAGACATTCAAGGTCCCGCACCATCTGAATCACTATTTTCTCTAATTTCACACCCACTACTCCCTGGCATAAACCCATTTTTCTGGTGAATGTCACCATGCCCTTTTATTTTTATTTATCAGTCTACCCCTTTATTAATTTCTGCCTCTTACTGATACCATTTGACTTACCTAGAAAGCCTTTCTCTGCCTACTAGCATCCACTCAAGACTACTTCAAACCCATTCATCTGTTTTCTGAATAGCTGGGGTGTGTGTGGGAGGGGGGATAATGATGTTTCAGGTCTAAGTGAGTTGGAAAATGTTGGTTTCACTGGGAGAAATAAAAACTAATATGGAGCTAAATGAGTGAAATAAAAGCAGGCCATTCATCTTAGAAATCTCACATCAATCTATTCTGTTTTCTCTCTAAAGCATGTATATGTTGCATTCATTTAGAATTTAGAGTGTAGTATTTTATATTCATGATGCAACTAAACTGTATATTCCTTGAGGACAGCACAACTCAGCCTTCTACAAAATGTATAGCAAAAAGCTGTTAAAAGGGCCCTCCCTGGTGGCGCACTGGATTAAAGCACAGCACTGCGAAGCTAGCAGCAGCCACCTCAGTGGGAGTTCGATCCTTCGCCTGGGAGGCGACCCACATGGCACAGCAGATCTCTCTCTTGTCTCACCCACTACTCCCCTCAGCAGTGTACTTCATCAGTCAGCCTGTTCTAACTCCCCACTGTCTTTGGTGAATCTTCTCACTTCCCCACCCCCATACCTCTGCCCTGTACCCCAGTTCTGTATGCATGAATAAATAAATCTTTTTTTTTAAAAAAAAAAA